AGGATTCTAGAAAGCATTCTGTGGGACACCAAACAGCTGGCCAAGGTTGCCAGAGAACTGTAGCACTTTCACTCCTTCAAAAAGTAGACAAACAGAACCTGCTGGACAGAAGGCCAAAGGGGGAGCTCTATGGAGCTGCTGAGAGGTGCCCAACTTTCAGGAGAGAAAACTTCCATGGAACATCCCAGTCCAACCCAAGTAGGGTAGTCCAGATGCCTCTGGTTCAGCCACAGGGAATATTTCTTTCTCTGAAATAAGGAGGCTACCCTGAATACCATATGATATATTTTAAGAAACAAGTCAGCTCATATCTTTAGGTTTGGGGATATGACAAGAGTCCAGCCCGATACTGCTTNAAAAAGAAAACACCTATAAGTTTAGGGCCAGTTGTTTCAGATTAAGTGCAGCTGTTTCCATACGAAAGCAATGACAACGGCCTCAGAATTAAAACTGTGGCCACAGGGAGCATCAACTTGGTTGATTATTTCTCCCACAAAACTCGTGGACCCCAAACTCCAGAACTTTAATTACATTTGCCAAATCTAAAGAGCGACGACAAGAAATTCTGTGGATTTGAACTGGAGGAAGAAATAAATGAAGTTTTATTGGGGCACTACACCCAGAACGAAAAAGCAAGTAACTTCAGGCACCACACAAATAAATGGGAATGTGAGATAAGCCATTAATTCAAATTAGAACTGGTGAAAAAAGTCAGGAGAGCAATTGGCAGCTTCAAAACAGGAAGGCAAATTCAACAAAAATTGTTACAGAATTCTACCCCTCGCCCACTCACCACCATCCCCATTTTTATCAATAACCTAGAACAAGGAGTAAAATATTACCTGATGAGAAAAGAAAATGAGGAGGTAGCAAGTCCACAAACAGAATGACCCCTACAGATATGACATATGTTCAACCTTCTAGTACAAAATGTAAGGCAGAAAGGACAGTAGAGATCATGAAAAGGGTCTCCCACTCTCCATCTGCAGCACTAAAACAATGTGCTTGGTTTCAGAAAA